GGCAGATGGGTAGACATTCATTACTTAAAAAAATAAATAAAAAGAGGGACATTGTGTTGAAACCACTATGATACATTTTTATCTGCAGCCATGGTCACTTTCTTCTCTATTAAAAAGGAATACTGAAAAGAAAGAATAATTCATGTGTCAGAGGTTAAGACACCACACAAGAACTAGTATGTGACAGTTGTCCATTGCTCAGAAGTACAGAGAAGAGCAACAAAGATGATAAAGGGACTGGAGGCTAAATCCTATGAAGAATGACTAAAATAACTAGGTCTGTTTAGCTTAACAAAGAGAAGACTGAGGTGATAGCAATTTTCCAAGATCTGAACGGTTGCGACAGGGAAGAGGGCATTGATTTATATTCTCCATTGCACCTGAGGGCAGGACAATGTTGTAGGTGCCCCATCACTGGAAGTTTTCAAGAAAAGATTGGACAGCCATCTGTCTGGGGTGGTATGAGGTCCTGGATGGTATGAGCTCTCCTGCCTTGGGCAGGGGGTTGGACTAGAAGACCTCCAAGGTTCCTTCCAATCCAACAATGATTCTATGATTCTACTCCAGCCCAGACTACTATCATCATGACTTGAAAGTGGAACTGGTACCAGAAGCTTCAGAAACAATTAAGTCATAAGAGAGTAAATTTATACCTTTTTGCTTATTTGTTCTTTTGTGTAACAAAGAGTTCACATTCATGACTTGAATTTTCACGAGAACTTCCATTTCTAACAGGATCAGCCATATAATTAGGCAGATAAAGAGAAAGATGATTTATGACAGGGCAGTCTCCTAACTATAGCCTGCGGGCCACATCTGACCCGCCTTGCCTTTTTATCTGGCCCAGGCATACAAGAGGAAGGAAGGTGGACCCGATCAATACCCCACCCCCACTGTCTTTGCAAAGACAGCGGGGGTGGGGGATCGCTTAGATCAGGCATTGATCCTCTTCCTATCTCCGCACGGGCATAGGAAGTGGAGGGAAGGGGGACCCCAACACAGCGGGGGTGGGGGATCGCTTGGATTCACCTTCCCTCCTTCAGCCCTCAAAAATGTGTAAAATATATGATGTGGCCGTCACTGAAAAGTTTGGGAACCCTTGCATTATGGTATCATGAAAGGGCATTTTACAAAGAAGTGTCACATCGGTCTGTCTCCGCATGTTGGTCAAGTGAAACGGGGAAAGCAACGGAACAAAATATTGTGCACCTTTAAACAAATTTGTTTCATTGTGAGCTTCTGTCTCTGATCTAAGAAAGCTCACCCTGAAACAAATTCATTAGTCTTTAAGTTACTGCAATTAATCTTATTTTGTTCTTGCTTCTTCTCCCTCTTCCTTTTCCTCTCTAAATGAAATTTTACGTCAAGTCATTTACTCCATTTTTCCAGCAAGGCAGAAGGACGTGCTTTTACCAGATGATCTAGCTCAAAAACAATTTTGCTGGCCTTGGATACTGTGACTCTGGATATCTTATATCTTATATGTCAACAAGTATAATCTTCATGTTCTCAACACAGTGCTATTCGGTGTCTACATCCACATGAGTTTTTGTTTGTTTGTTTTGTTTCAAATAACCAGCTGATTATTACACTCCACTTTGTTTTACAATTTTGCTATTTAAGCCATCCATCCAGCTGTGCTTCTTGCATAATGGCCAATATCCTGCGATGGGAGGTTTGGTTCTGATTTGTAAATCAATCAAATACTTTAAAAAATCCCTTTGACGACTACTAATGCTCACAATTTCCCTGGATGCTTCTGCGCATAAAGTCCCAGCAGATTGTCTGGAAGAGTCTCTCTAAGAACTATACTGCCTGAATAGTGCACCATTAATAACTATTCACTTGTATTTTCAGAGTCTTTTCTACAGATTAAATCAAAGCAATTTTTTCCCTTGGCTGCTGCTCTAAAAAAGGCTGATGTGACCACACATCACATTTTGCTCACACTTGACCAAGGGCTTGGAATCATAGAATAATGGAGTTAGAAGGGATCTACCATATTTACTGGCGTACAAGGCGATTGGCCGTATAAGACGACCCCCCAACATTTCCACTCAAAATATAGAGTGGGCAGCTCTGCTGCGGCGCCAGCGGTGGCTGCCCGGGACTCTGCCCGGGCCCGCCCTGGAAGTTCATAGCCGGCAGGGAGGAGGGCGAGGAAGAGGGGAAGCAGCTGGGCGGGCGGCGGCAGGAGGAGGAGGAAGAAGAGGGGAAGCGGCCAGGCAGGCAGGGGAGCAAGAGGGCGAGGGAGAGGGGAAGCGGCTGGGTGGGCAGTGGGAGGAGGAGGAGGAGGAGGAGGAAGAGGGGAAGTGGGCAGGTGGTGAGCGAGTGAGTGCACCGCTGGCTCAGCGGGGTGGGGTGGCAGGCTCTGGCTGCTCAGGCATGGCCGGCTCTGCTTCCTTCCCTCCATCCGGACTGACTGCCTGCCTGCCCACCTGCCTTCCTCCCCGGCCAGCGCGGCCCCGCGGCACTCACTCAACAGCAGTGGTGGCTCCTTCCTGGCCCAAATGAAGTGCACAGGGCGTACAAGACGACCCCCCACTAGGAGCCATGTTTTTTGTGCCAAAAAGGTCATCTTGTATGCCGGCAAATATGGTATAAGGCCACTGAGTCCAACCCCCTGCACAATACAGGAACACAAGTCAAAGGAGATTTGACAGATGGTTGTCCAATTTTCTCTTGAATGCCTCCAGATTTGGAGCACTCACCATCTCCCAAGGTAACTGGTGGTCTTTCCTGATATTCAGCCTTCCTGTAGCTTGAGCACATTCTCATGTGTCCTGAACTCTGAGATGATCAAGAACAGATCCTTGATCATCCTCTAATCTCTGATAACTCTGTATGACTACCTTTCAAATATTTCAAAAGTGGCCATATTTAATCATGAAACTCTAGTATAATTATGAAGTTCTGGAGACAGAGTGCCACCCTTCTCACCAAAGTAAACTGAAGTAGTACTCTGCACAATTTGATCTGGAGGCCAACATGAAGCCTCCAAATAAAATTCCAGTGATTTGTGCCTTATCCCATTTTCTTTATTCCTCAGATTCAAACTGACTTATAATCCTCCTTTTGCAAAAGAAAACCAAAACCATTTCAACTTTTTTTTGGTTATGCAATGATGTACCGTATTTGCTGGCATACAAGATAACTTTTTTGGCCTCCGAATTGGGGGGGGTCGTCTTGTACGCCGGGTGCACTTCATTTGGGCCAGGAAGGAGCTGCCGCTGCCGCCACCATTGAGTGAGTGACGCGGGTCCGCGCCGGCTGGAGAGAAAGGCAGGCGGGCAGGCAGGCAGTTGGTCCGGACGGAGGGAGGGAGGGAAGCAGAGCCGGCCATGCCTGCTTCTCCTTCCCCTCCACCTCCTCCGCCGCCACCGCCAGCCCACCGGCTTCCCTTTCCTTTCCTTCTCGCCCTCCTCGTTGCCGGCCATGAACTCTATATTTTGAGTGGGAATGTTGGGGGGGGTTCGTCTAATACGCCTTGTATGCCGGCAAATACAGTACCTGAAATCTGAAGACATACCCTAAACAAATGAGTAAACCTACCAAATATCAGACAGCTAGCTTTTGGAACTTGAACTCTAGCCACCTTCAAAGTTTGCTTTTAAAAGGGGGGGGGGGTAGGGGACAGTGATGCAAGTTGTGTCCCACCAGATTCTCCTTGTGTTCTGGGTACTGAATGATCTGCAAATTCAATTGGCTCCAGCTGCAGAAGGGACTCTTGAGCATTCTGCAGTGATCTGGACTTGGCACAAATCAGCTCAAATTAACCCTAAATTTAAAAAAAGGGAAGGACACTAGGGAGGTGTTCAAAGGAGTACAGGTGAGACTAGCCATTGAAAATCTAGTGAAACCACGTCAAGATATGAACCTTATCTTGCTATGGCAGGGTAGAACCATGGAACTGGTGTACCTCACACCTACACATGTGAGCATGCACACACTTTATGATTGTACACGCTCCATTAGTATTTCAAAGCAGTCCAGAAACTGAAAGTATAGTACTAGCATTAATACATCTCTGGAAAGTCCAAGAGACTGAAGCAGCTCTTGAGCTACATGTTTTGTTCTAAAAAAGCATTATATGCTTTTTTAGATGCTAAGCAGAGAAACAGTCATGAAGCTATCATGTTACTGGCTGACTAAAAACTTATAGTGACCCAACCTGGCAACAAGAGGATGCAACCTGGGCATATCTGCTGTATTTATAATCAGTGTAAAGTAGTATTTATCAAGAACACATCAAATATACATCCTTCATACTAAGATGAACCATGGAAACGTTCAGACCTGCGACCATAAGTGCTGGTTCAAGTTGCTTCTGGAAATTAAAACTCTCTTTAGGTTTATTAGAAAATTTAAGAACAATATTTCTTCTGGCATTTCAAAGGTTCCAAGGAAGAACCAATTTTGAGGGGAGACAGAAAGATGGCACAGCATGCTTCATTTGTTTACCCAGCAGATTGCCTATTTGCCACATTTACCGAAAGATGCAGTGATGATACAAAAGTCCACTGAATAGATGAGCTATAATTAATGCAAGCCCTTTTACCACTGGTAACTGTTATCTAGTCCACAGGACAGGGATCTGAGACAATCCCTGCAGGAGACACTAGATGATCACATTCAATAGAGAACCCAGTTTTTTCAGAGCAACTTCCTGACAGTTTTGAAAACTGGACATTGCATTTGAATGTTTGTCTTTCTTTTCTTCCTCTATTTGTATAGCTGCATTAAAGCAACTTTTGCACCCCTCTGGGTTACAGTCGGTGTTTCTGTAACAGCACCAATAGCAAAAGCTTTCTTGCTATCCTAGAGCACAAGACAAAATATTGCCTCGAGTATTTAACCAAAGGATTAAAAAGGATTCTCTTGCCAACACCACAGAGCTGCTCCGGCATGCTCAGTAAGGCACACATACTTTTATCCAGTCTCTGAAAAAAGAGTCTTTTGATTTTTCCACTCAATACCTATTCATAAACATTCTTGCTTACCGGTTCTCGGCCATCCATTGCCTCCATCCACAGCCTTCGGTCTTCTTCAGAAAGTGCCTGCATTGTGATCACTCCAGGCCTGCAGAGATTAATGGAATGATGCTGTGAAAAACAGGTTTAAAAAAGATGAAATGGCAAAAGCAGGAGTGGCGGGGGGTGGGGGACAGCAGGCAAATTCAGCAAATCCTGCTACAACACATCTTTCCATGGTCCAAAGTGCAGGTTCAGCAGAAGTGAGGGACACACCCATCCCCAAGAAAACCAACCATGGGGCCATACTAGGACATCAACTGACAACAATTTTTCTCTTTCATGATTTAAGATGCGTCTGTGTGGTAAAATAAACATGCCAAGCAATGTTTGGCAGGCTTCAAGAATCTGCACGGAGGTGTATCCAAATAAAAATGAACGTGGGTTGGCAGGCCATTGTATTCTAACATACAGCCTAAACCGCACAACTTGACAATCAACAGAAAACTCTTACTGATTGAAATTTGGTGGACTTAGGATTTTTGTTTAATGCAAAATATTCTTGTTTTTGGTTAAAAAAAATGAGTATATGAAAACACTGAGATACATGATTGCAGTATGGCCAAGTGCTGGAAGATTTTTTGCTCAAACATGAAATTTAAAAGACCAGGACTTTTCTCAGCAGCAGAAGCAGTCACACGAAGGGGTGGGTGGGTAAGCAAAATGCGAAGCTTTGTAGGCAAAATAGAATTTTTTTAAAATACACATTTTTCTCTACAAAAAGTGCTGAAACGTAAGAAATATAAAAACTGGAATTTTGTGATCTTATCAAGCATGTAGAAAACTTTTCAAATGTTTTCATTCTCATCTGTGAGAACAAAACAAGTAAAGATTTACAACCTAAACAGTCTTTAGCATTCCTAGTAATGGATTCACACAGACAAATATAAGCATTTGCACTGTATTCATTTGGGAATATAGGAAGCCCCAGAAGAACTATGCCATATCAAAGTGCAGTTATGCCTCCTGGAAACGTGAGGGCCTGAATCAGTGAATTTACATGCCACATAATGTTGATGAATGCGTACTCTGGATTCCTGGATAAAACCTCCTGCACTGAAATACTACAGTTCATGTCAAAAGCCCCACTCATCTGAATCAAGTAGTTATTTTTTACTCCTTTGATAGTGGTCAAATAGAAGACACAATATGAAAAACAAAGCAATGATAACAAAGCACCAAATAAGAAAGCAGGATGAAACCAGCAGCAATCTAGTATACTATATAGAACTAAAAGCAATAAACCCATTCTTTAATGTCTTAGTGAACAGAACAGTGACCACCTTTCTGTGCTGAAAATATAGTAACTTAGTCTATATTCCCAGAGAGACAAGTCTCTCTGGGAATGCATTTCACAGACACCACTGAATTTCAATTAATATATAATGTTGCTGGTGGGGATTCAGCCTGCTGTGAGTTCTGGGAAGAAAACAGGACCTTCCATCCATCAAAGTTGCCCATCCCCGATTTAATGGAAATTAAAAACAAAATGGTTGCAAGATTTGGAGACTTCCAATCAAGCTGAATGGTGTGAAGTTGAAGACAAACAGAAGTACTGTATGTCTTTATGAAGTGCAACTGAATGTGGAAATCGCCAAGGGAAGATCAACTGTGGGCCACCAGCATGGACTGTTTTAAAGATGAAATCAACAAGTTCTTGGAGAATACTAATAGTCATGCTGCCCTCAGCAGACAAAAAATTATTTTATATACTGGTTACTGAGGAGCAATAGCAAAAGATTGCTATTGTGCTCAGATTCTGCTTGTGAGCTTCCCACAAACATCTGGATGGTTAATGAAGTATGGAGGGTGGGGGGTGGAGAGACCTATTTCTGTTCAGTTCTCCGATTTCATTATTTCCCCCATGAGATTCCTAGCCTTTCGTCTCCTTTCAGAGATATTGATTCAAAGCCATTGGAACCATCACTGGTGCCAAGAAATGCAGATTCGAGAAAAGGAGTAATATTAATAATCCAGCCTGAATAGTTCATATCTGTAACAATAACTGTGTGCTGTCAAGTCATGTCTAACCTACAGCAACCCTTTTTCCAGGTTTTTTTTTTTTAGGTAGAGATTACTCAGAAGTGGTTTACCATTCACTTCTTTTAGGGACACTTCTGGTGCTGTGCAGCTTGCCCAAGGCCACATAGGATGGCTCTTCTTGGATGTACAGTGGAAAATGGAACTCCCAAACTCTGGCTCCACAGCCAGATACCTACCTCACAGAGGTATCCACCATATCTACAGATTTTTTTAAACAAGGATGGATCATCACATAATTCTTGAACACCTAATTGCTCACAGAAAGCACATTATATGCTTGTTTTTTAAAAAGCTAATTACAATAAAGCCAAATACTGGAAGAATCTGTGCCATCAGTCAGCAAAAAATGCCTGGGCAAGAATTTAAAAGCAGTGAAAGCTATAATGAAGCCAGCTTTGAAAGCTGCAGACATGAGTAATGCCTTTGGTTATCAGTAGAAAATTTACTTCTGTCAGAGAAATTGACATTTGGCATCTGCCCCAGGCTGCCAAAAGGAGGAGAAAAACAAAAACAAAGGAGCAACAGACAAGGGATTCAAGAATTCTAAGCCTACAGCATTAGAAAAGTCCAGTCAGCTGGCAGGAGAATAGTAGCTATGTACACCAAGCAGCTCATACAGTTTACCAAGAAAAGGACACAAGCTGTTCTGACTTACACCAAATGTAACACCCAAATAATCCAAACATATTGTATGTTATTTTTGCTAATCTTTTTTGTGCCCAGAATCGCTCAGTATTTATCGGATTAGCATTCTGGAAAAATATATCTAGAGAAAGCCATTTAACCTTCAGCCTACTTACAATATTATTGTGAAAATTAAATAATGTCTTCCTCCACTGGGAAAATCCCTATCTGGAAGTACCACCATCTTAAACTCGTAAGCTCAAGACAGACACTCTGCCAAAAGAAATGTGATGCCTTAATAGAAGAATGTGGCAAATTAATGGAGATGAAAGCTACCAATAGCTACTAGTCATGAAGTTTCCAAAAAATTGTGATACTACTTTGTCTCAGCATGCTGGTCAAATTAAGGAGAGGGAGAAGGGGTGGGGAGAAGAAGAAAATACTGTGGAATTTTAACAGATCTGTTTCTGTGTGTTTTCATACATCAAAATCACTTTGATGTGCCTGAAGAAGTGGGTTTTGATCCATGATAGCTGACAGTGAAACAAATTTTTCACTCTTTAATGTACCATAATATTTCGTCCTCTCCATCCCTACCCCCATTTACCCAACCACTTCCCCCCCTTATGTCTGCTAAAATATTAGCCTATTAGCCATGCAGACTATGAAGATAGTATGCCTCTGGATTCTAATTGCTAAGATTGCTTTTAATTTGTTTTTAAAGCATATATTAAGCTATTCTGTTGTACACGACTTTGGAAGCTCCAGGAAGCAGAAAAGCAAAACATCATAGACAAATAAAGGGGCAGAAAAGAAATTACAGTAGTTAGATTCCGCATTCTCAACAACTGTTGCACTTGCCTAAACTTGGACAAAATACATTTCATTTTGATAATCCACATATTATTCAGGCTTATTTGGCACAGGGGTGGTGTCACAAACATATGCACACAAACCTGCTTGCATATCTCAAAACGAAAACAGCTAAAATGTGTACAATTAGAAAACATATAAACATGTATTATAGTCAAGGGGAGTGTTTAAATTACACAACATGTCTAAATAAAAGTGCATGAGTTTTAGTGTAATATGAACAAAGCAGTCTCATGACTCAATACAACAAAAAGAGGACAAAACCAAAATGCAGATGAGATCTGGAGAAATGCAACACATTTGAGGCCAAGAGATTTTTATATCTCTATCCCCATATACTGTAGTGCAGTAATGGCATTTTTATGCGCATTTGGTTGGCCACTGCACAAACACTGCTGGATTAGGTACTTCTTTGGCTCCATTCAGCACATCTCTTTTTACATTCTTAATTTAATCTAAGGCAAGTACCTCCTTAATGTTAGAAACAGAAATATCTGTTTTTACTTGATACTAACACATCCAATAATAAAGATTTTGGTCTCATGAGTACTACAGATTGGAAGGAGCACTATGCCATTAGTTACTCTGTTCATCTACAAATCCACATTTTATTTTAACAAACCTAACATTAATCACTAGCACACCAGTTTTATCAAGCAAAATACTAAGTACCAACAGTATGCCCATGAATTTTAGCGGATCAGATCATCAGTAAAAGGCTGCACAATCAGAAAGCTAAGCCAAACATCATAATTTTACCAAAGCCTAGGATTAAATTTTGAAAACCTCTGGATGCCTTCAAAGACTGTTGCCAGTTTTCCCCATCTTTTGAAAAACATTCCCAATGTGGTTGGGCCTCTTCCAACTGAATGTTAAAATTAACTAACTAACTAAACTAACTAAACCAACTAAACTAAACTAAACTAACTAACTAACTAACTAACTAACTAACTAACTAACTAATTAACTAACTAAGGAAACATACTTGAAAACCTGACTGAGGGCTTAATCAGTGCCAAAAGAGCTTATTTATTTTCATCCTTTTTAGGAATCAATACATTTTTACATGCGAGCACGAGGTATATATACCGTTGGGCCAGTTCACATGGTTGTCAGTTCAACTGCTACACTATTGCTATTTATACCAGTTCTGTAGGCTGCACATTCCATTTCATATAAATGATTTCATTTGCAATCCTGTTTCTGGGTCCCCGCTGCCCAAACATTTTCTTTTAAAAAAATTGTGATATGTTGCTATTTTCCTGTCACCTTCAACTGTTAGTTGATGCACAACCTGGTAGTATATGTCATTTGCAGCCCTTTCTTCCTTCCCTTTTTAATTTTCACTTCTTAGTTCCTTTTCCGCTTTCCATTTTTCTCCGTCCTTTTTCTTTCCTCCTCCCCTTTTCCCTTCCCTTCTTTACTCACTCATTCCCTTCTCCTTATTTTCCTGCATATCTCTTTCTCTCAGTTCTTGGCTTAATTTTCCCTCCCTTTAAACAGTGTCAG